GGAGGGTGACTTTTTGTTTACCCGTAATGTCGTACTTGGAGGTACCAGTATCGAACTGCCTATAACGAAGCGAGTGACCAAAAGTGCCTGAGGCGTGTCCCTGCGTCGGGTCGTGTCTCTGCGACATAGACGTGGTGAAGAACCGTGCCTGCCCTGCGGCGTCGCTCTATATCGTAATGACTTTAGCTTTATTATAGTAGACTAGATCAGGATGGATAGATTGAACTCACGGTATAGATGGAATAACCTTATATTGACTAAAGACAGGATAAAATATAGACAGCACATAAATATCAACGTCCATGGGCGCAGCCATCTTGGATCAGGCTATCACTGCTACTGCTATGGTAGGGAAAACAATTAAGGAGTGTTTAATAGCGCGAACAATTAACGCGATAAATAGAATATAATATTCAACGTGGTTATGTACTAGTGGTCAACATAATATATGAGGAGATTGGAATAGAATAAATAGTCTAAGTTGTCGAAGAGTAGGATATGTACTTAGAAACGGGTTGCATAAGATGATGTACCTATCGTACCAGACACGGGTTGCGGCATCGGGTGAGGCAATCATGGTACTACCAGGTACGGATTGCACCAGCGAACGAAATCTGCGCGCCAGCTAGGTATATAAGGCGCGCCGAATCGCAGAGCAGGAGGGTTATTTTTCTGGTACAGGTAGAAGGAAGAAAAAGGAAGAGGAAGAATAAGGAGAAGGAAGCAGAAGAACAGAGAGGTAGCGGAAGCGTTAGAGAGAGAGGCTGGAGGCACAGGTTTTCAGGTAGGTGGAAACCGGAGACGGACGGGAGAGGGGAATAAAACGAGAACGGAGAAGAACGGGATTCCGGTTAGGTAAAGCCAGGAGCGACTACGAGGGAGACCACTTGGAGACTGCCTAGGTCTACGCGAAGAGAGGACGAGTGTGAGAGAGGAAGATGAAACCGGCGACGCGTTACTTCTTCAATATTAATCTAGTGGTGATAGGATCCGCTGCATATACGAATGCAGGGGAATTATTTGTGAACTAGTAGGAATCAATAAAGCTATAACCGTACAGTTAACCGAATCTCACTGTGTTCTGTTCAGCTGGTGCTACCTGTTATCTGCTACGTGACATCACCGTCCTGCCTAATACAACGGCAGGAGCGAACACTGACTCCAAACAACTGGTACACGCGTTAACTAAACAACGTCTGTCGTACCGTAGTCGGCTACCCCTAGGGCCACTACAGGTAAAATGGGGGCTCGTCCGGGATGTTCGCATGAAGGAGTAGCAATAGCAAGTGTACCAGTGTTATAGACGGATAGTGAGCGAGGATAACAACATGTCGAGTTTTATAAAGAGAATACGGGAGTTTCTGACGCCCACGGCGAACCTATGGAGCGATGTGGAAGGCAACACTCACATGCAGCGGACGGCGGAGGCTGATGACTCATCGCCACGCCAGCTGAGCGAGGAAAGGGAAAGTGTGGGCGAGTCCATTATTTTCAGAAGGGGACAGGTACCGACGGCCAGTCACGATGGCGTATCCACACCGGAGGAGCTTTCTAGGGATAGGAAGATATTTCAGGAGGCAGCCAAGGATTATAGGGAGCAGATAGCAGGATCGGAGAAGAGATTACTGGAAAGCTGGAAAGAAAATGAGCAGGAAAGGGGACAGAGATACCACACACCCCTACCCCACGCTGGAGTAAGCCAAGAAAGCTTACAGAGAAACTGGGGAAGTCCGATCAAACAGCACGGCAGCATTCTGAAAGCAGGAAACGGCAGCGTTAATTCTGATGTCTTGCCGGACGGAGAAGCAGATATTTTACAGGAACCTGCAAGAGATACGGCTACGGTTGGGCATATGCCATACACACAGGAGAGAAGTCCGTGACGCAGTACACCTGCAAAGGAACGAAAACCTCCAAACTTTAGGAAGAGAGATGGAATTGCATTAAAGCACTTTCTGATAAAGTTCGAGATGACGGCTAGCTATAATCAGTGGCCAGAGAATAGATGGGGAGTTCAATTAAAATTATGCTTGGAGGGTGAAGCTCTAGAGGTGATGATAGAGATGCCACGATCACAGCGTGCTGACTACGACAAGATGGTTGCCTGTTTGCAACGCAGATTCAATCCGGTAGAGCGAATCCACGTTTCTCGGAGTGAGCTACGTCGTAGGAACAGAAGAGATGGAGAAACACCCGAGGAATACGGGGTGGTCATGCGACAGCTGTTCGCGCGGGCGTACCCTGGCATGATAGGTTTTCAGACGGAGCAGATCTTGATCGACAAATACCTGGAAGGAATAGGAAATGTAGAAATACAACGTTATGCACTCTTGCAAGTGCCAAGCACGCTAGACGAGGCTATAACTCGGGTAGCACAATATGAGGCCGTTACAAGGGAAATGGTACATCGTAGAAAACCGCAACCAGGTGCAGGCACTTATGTACGAGCTGCGATGCAGCCAGTGGATCCAGTGTCGAGTCGATGGGAAGAGATGCACAAAGGGATGCGAAGCCTGAAACAGGAAATGGTTAAGATCAGGAAGGACATGGAAGGTCAAGTGCAACAAGATACAGCTAGGGCGGGATTCAGAGGTCAAAGGTCGGGAGAAAGGATGCAAAATGCACCATTCAGCAGAATGGCAAGGCCTCCGCCGAATAGGGTAAGAATGTAACGTTTAGTTTTAACGCTAGTGTGTTGAGCTATTGTTAATGTATGAAGTAGAATGTGTGTGAAGCCAAAACACATATACGATAATAGAAGTCAGATATTTACCATGACTAGAAGTACTTTATTGCGGAAGGTTACAGTGCTCGGTCGTGCCTGTCGTAAAGCCCGGTTATGTGGCGGTGGTACCGGTAAACACGAGCTGAGGTGCTCGCACGAGCTGAGGTGCTCGTAGGGGCTGAGGTGCTCCTGGGGGGGCTGAGGTTGCCTCTGTGAGAGGTTATATGTTGTGTTTGTAATCGGTTTTATGTTTGTAATGTATTTCTGTGTGTTTCATGTGTGTTTTGTAAGTGTCCTGCAGCAATTACTCACTTACCGCCAGATTACGATGGGGGCTGCCATTAGTTGCGGTTGTAACCCCCTCTAGCGGCCGAGAGCGGCGCTGGCGTAGGAAACAGTAGGCCGTTCGGAGTCGTGTGCAAAAACGGCGTTGTGTTTTCGAGTGAGCGAGCGGGAAGGTTGTGCGGATACGTGTAGAGAGAATATACAGTGAATTATCGGAGAGAGGAGCTAGAGGGAGAAAGAGAGAAGAGAGGATTTGTTCGGCGAGCGTCCGTTCGGTCTGAGCGAGAGGGAGACGTACCGGGTGAGGACCGGGGAGAAAGTGAGTACAGCGAGCTGTTATTATCGGCACACCGTCGGGGCTTAATTTACAGTAAAGTAGGCAATAATAATTTGGTAACGTTAACGACAATAGTAGAATTAATTGTGACTTCATAGACGTCGACTGACGCATTTAATATTACCCTCGAGTAGCAGTTTTAGGCGCATCGGGTGTTGAGTGCATCCCTTGTGTGAGTGGCCGTACGGGGGTCCCGTCAGCCAGCTGCCCCCCCTACACGTTGAATTAATATCTCCCGAGTAGCCCCGCGTCATAAGGTGCGCCGTGCTGTGTTGTGTTGTGTCACTGTTTGTCCTGTGACGTCCGTCGTCTGGCATTGTTAACTAACGACAAGCACCGGAGAGAGAACGAACGCTGGGTTGGCCACGACGAGAGCGCAGTAGCTTCGAGGCGCTCGCAGGGGAGTGGAGGCTGAGGTGCCGACGATACGACATATAAGGTAGGAACATCTATCTCGTATTTCTCGTTGCCACTATCCACCGTGTTGCACTGCACTATACGTGAGGTAAACCGCTAGTTACTGCGTATTGACAGGTGGTGCCCCCTGGTGTCGAGGAAAGACACGAAACACGCTACAGTATATATCTATGGTGTAACAGTACACAACAAGGCAGAGCAATATGTTGCCAGGTTGATGTGACACGCGTAACAGTGAAGTTTTCGTTGTACAGCTTAATATGTTTCTCTCTCGATCTCTATATAGTTCACATCTTATTATTAGTTGTATCCGCCTCATCCTAATCTGAATCATGTAACACGTAGCACAAGAAGCTATAGCTTTCGTTTTGGTACGTTCTCTCGCTCTCTCTCTCTCTCTCTCTCTCTTTCTCTCTCTCTCTCTCTCTCTCTCTGTCTCGCTCTCTCACCCTCTCTCTCTCTCTGTCTCTCTCTCTCTCTGTCTCTCTCTGTCACTCTTTGTCTCTCGCTTTCTTTACCCCTTCTCTCTTTCCTCCTCTCTATCCCCCTCTCTCTCTCTCTTGCGCTTTGTCTCTCTCTCGTCGTCGTCGTCGTTGTCGTCGTCGTCGTCGTCGTCGTCGTCGTCGTCGTCGTCGTCGTCGTCGTCGTCGT